GCGATCATGCATCTGGGCAAAACTTGGTTCTGCCATGGACATGATTGCTTAACGATACTAAATCACTTAAGTGACCAAAGGCAAAAGCGAGGAATCACTTAAGCGATTGTGCATCTGGGAAGAACTTGATTCTACCATGGACATGATCGCTTCAGTGATACCAAATCACTTAAGCGACCAAGGGCGAAAGAGAGTAATCGCTTAAGCAAGACAATAAATCGCTTAAACGATCGTTCATCTAGGCAGATATTGATTTTGCCATGGACATGATCGCTTAAGTGATACCAAATCGCTTAAGCGACCAAGGGCAAAAGCAAGGAATTACTTAAGCGATACATTTATAGCTTAAGCGATTGTGCATCTAGGTAGAACTTGTTTCTGTCATGGACATGATCGCTTAAGTAACCAAGTGTAAAAGCGAAGTATCGCTTAAGCGATCGTGCATCTGGGCAGATCCTGATTCTGCCTTGTACATGATCGCTTAAGCAACAGAGGGTAAAAGTCAAGTATCGCTTAAGTGATCCTGATTCAACTTTGGACATGATCGCTTAAGCGACTTTGGACATGATCGCTTAAGCGACCAAGGGTAAATGTGAAGCATCGCTTAAGTGGTCTTGATTGTTGCTTGTGCGTGATCGCTTAAGCGACTTTACTAGATCACTTAAGCGATTAGGTCTAAATGCACAAGATCGCTTAAGTGAGAAATGAAATCTCTTAAGCGATCCAGTGTATTCTGATTATTTTTATTGACTTTCACAAGATCGCTTAAGCGATGAAAGCTTATAAACACTTGATCGCTTAAGCAATGATATGATCTCTTAAGCAATTTTATTTTATTTTATTTTATTTTTTTTGGAGTAGGTTTTTAACCCTATAGTAAATGACATTAATGTGAACTTCGGATTTTCACAACATCACATGATTGTTAACGTTAATGTTAAGCAACATCGATTAGTAACACTTATTAAGGCCAATTAAGAAAGATTATTTGCAACATAATTCCATCAACACATATTAATGTTACAACCGTATGATATATGGATTAATGTAATAGTGCACTAGCATGACACGTTAGTAGCAATGTCCTGATTTCATAAATATGGATGATGTATTTGAGAACGATTAGATTGAAATAAGCTTCAATTTTGACTGTACTATTAGTTTAGTGGACCATGATCTGTCTTGTGTCAATTGATTTGATTATTTATATCACTTTATCGATTTTTTTTCAAAATTATATTTTAATTAAATTAATTCTTCTAATTAAGTCTTGACATAAACATGGTAATAAACATGAAAAAGAAATATTAAAGTATAGAATGATTCTATATAATACAAATTTTAATGTTTTGAAAGTATGAAAGTAAATTACCCTTAATCGTTTAAGCGATATATTGTTTCGCTTAAGCGATCTCACCTCTTTGTCTTTGGTCGCTTAACAATACCTTGTTTTTCTTAAGCGATGTTGTCTATTTAGCCTTGGTCGTTTAAGCGATAATAAATCACTTAAGCGATCTTATCAAAGGCAAAATAAAGGTCGTCCGACTATAGTGGATCGCTCAAATGATATTTTCTCTCTCTTAAGCGATCCAGTATGTTGAGCCTTGGTAGCTTAAGCGATCACATATGAGCGAGGATCAAGATCATTAAGCGATGCTTATCTTTTACCCTTGGTTGCTTCATGATCGCTTAAGTGATCATGTCTAAGATTGTATATAGTCACCCTAGTGAAGGATCACTTAAGTGATTTAAAGTCTCACTTAAGCGATTCTTCTCTTTTGTCCTTGGTCACTTAAGCGATCCTATAAGGCAGAATCAAGATCACTTGAGCGATTCTTAACTTTTGGCCTTGGTCACTTAAGCGAGGGAGGCCATTTTGCTTCTTTTCTGATCGATCTTTTGATATTGTGCACGTTTGATTGAGAAATGAGGTATGTTTCTACTAATGTGCCACACTCGTGACTAATTCAGTAAATTGATTGATTGATTTATTGTCTTGATATGACAATTATGTTGATAATATTTATTTTGCTTGTCTTACTTCTTTGGGCAACAATCAATGCTATGCAAAGGTAATATACGAAATTTTACTTACTTAAATCCCTATGCAAAGGTAATATACGAAATTTTACTTACTTAAATCCTTTGTAAAATGGATGAAAATGAAAAATAATTGATTTGATTTGATACGTTGTAAAGGATGATTTATTCAAGGTAACAATTAAATTGAAAACATAAAAAATTGAAAACAACAACTCTTCAACGGTTGGTCTTGGCAACACTCTCGATTTCATCATTCTTCTTGATGACTTAGCCGGAAATACAGGACATAAAATCGGTTTAATGCACCACAAAAGAGAAACATAATAACTCCATCAGATCGCTTAAGCGATCTATTAGTTAGATCTGCATATAAGAAAAGATTGCTTAAGCGACCTGACGTTGCTTAAGCGATTTGGTTCTCACCATATCTAATCTAAGTAGCAGATCGCTTAAGCGATCTGGTGTTCAAATCTGATCTAAGTAGCGGATCGGTTAAGCAATCTCAGGTTGCTTAAGTGATCCGATGTTCAGATCCACAGATAAGCGCAGATCGCTTAAGCAATTGATTGTTATCTGTAGATTTGAACAACCAATCGTCTAAGCGATCGGCTGTTATCTGCAGATCTGAACATCAGATCACTTCAACGACCTTAGATCGCTTAAACGATCTACTGTTCAAGACTGCAGATAATAGCCGATCGCTTAAGCAATCTTATGTCACTTAAGCGATCTGATCTTATCTGCAGATTGCTTGCTTTCTTGCTACTAATTAATTCGAACCTAATTTTCTAGATCTGCATGTGATCAATTCTGGCAACTGCTTCTCTTGTGGTCAGGTTGCTTGCAAATTGAGTACTTATTCATCATCCGAGGAACCTCACAAGTGCCTTACAAAATCTAAAGCTTCTATATCTTTTAACCATAGAAGACAATTTTTCAATCTTTTTACTTGATGGGTTTACCTTTATTCACTATTAAACCACATTTTTGGTGCCCAAATTTTTTAAATATTGATTTGCTCTTGAATAAGGTCAATCCATGGCCTTACTTTCTATGTGTTTTCAAAATCTATGTTAATTAATTAATTATTCCATTTTGTTTAATTTTTTTTTATATATGGTGCTTTGAAAATGTGTTTCATGTTATGATGGATCAAATATTGGTGATTGATCCTTTAGGTGGTATTAATTGGTTAAGAGATTATTTTTTAATACAGTAATACTATGTATATAAAGTTGGGATAGTAAATGATGTGACTGATGATATTTTAGTATCACATTAAATGTAGGATTTTGTGGTGTGATACTGTATATCTTACGATTAATATAGTGTTCACACATTGATAAACCACATCAGTCAGATCCTAACTTTGTATATTTAACATCACTCTTTAATATCACTAAAGAATTTATAAGGTCGATTCTCTTGAATTCTTCATGTCGGTACTCTTTTTTTAGTTCTTATTGATTGAAAATCTACAAAAGATACATCGACGAACTCCGACAGTCATTTGCCGTAATATATACATTTGAGGGCATTTTGATTTTTTTTAAGGATTTTAAACCCTAGAAAATATGGATTTTTGTTGTAATGCTAGTACAAAAATGTAATGGGAGTTAAGGAAGTAGTTGAATTGACAAGGGGGCCAATGCCAAAGGGCCTACTCCCAAAACTTGTGAATTCAATTGAAAACGTTGATCTCTTGGATTGGGCCATCTAGTGATAAGAGTCTTTTTTTATTTCTTTTTAGGTGGAATATAAATAGTATAGAATTGCTTGAATGTTGAGCTCATCTTTGAATTTGTTTATAGTGTACAGGACAGGAAGATAATTAACATGGTATAAATTTGGACTAGACTTGTAGCTAAGATCCATACCAGTAATTCATCTCACTCCCGAATCAAACTAGGCAGATTTAGTTTTATCAAAGTTTTTATTATGTTATTTATTAGTCCTCATAAGACTATTGATAGTGATGAGTGACAATATTTTGATTGATATTATGATTAATTATTAAGTTTAGTAAAATATATAATTAAATAAAAAATGAATTTGACAGTTTGGTTATTCATCCTTGTTCAACTAACTCAAGAGAGTAGGGAGTCTAACCACAACATTTTACTAAATCAGTAATGTGGGATAAATACAACTTTTAACAAGGTCAAATCAAATCCACACAAAAGAAATGGAAAATTCAAATGTTAATATGTTATCCGAATAGGAATTTTAACTCTAAATTATGTTGAATAATCATTTTATTCAAAAATCAGTTTAAGCTATCAAATAAAGTAAGTAACTAACCACTTAGGTGTGGCTGGATGACACAACTTTGGGTGACCCAGAGGTCTTGTGTTCGAGTCTCACAAAGTGGCACCTATCACATTTGTCATATACTTGACCCATTGAGATTGTAGGGTGTTCGATAGACTCCGAAGATTAGTTAATGTGTATGCAAGCTGGTCTGGATACCCCAATTACCAAAAAAAAAAATAGTAGGATTAGTTGAGGTAGACGTAAGCTGGCCAGGATATCCCCGTTATCAAAAAAGAAAGAAAGTAATGGTCTAGTAAGTAATCACGATGTTCAAAAACCAATTTAAGCTGATACCCTGATTATCAAAAGAGAAAAAAATAGGATTAATTGAGATAGATACAAGCTGACTCGGATACCCTAAGTACCAAAAAAGAAAAAAAGTAAGTAATGTTCTAATAAATAATCACGTCGTTCAAAAACATGTTTAAGCTAATAAACTGATTACCAAAAAAGAAAAGTAGGATTAATTGAGATGTACGATCAACCTGAGACTATACTTCCATTATCAAAAAGGAAAAAAGTAAGTAATCACTTCGTTCAAATACCAGTTTAAGCTAATAAGTGAGTACCATTTATTAGAAATATAATTTCAATCAATTCAATTCAATAATATTACAATAATAATCAAAGAACTGGAAAATTTCTTCAGATGCAAGAAGCTTCAGTCTAGTTTCATTGAAAGAAGTTTCAGGTACACAATCCATATGTACAAAAAAAAACCAGAACGACCAGACCCAACAACATTATATACAAAAGGGTGTTCATCTTCATCTTCATCATCATCATCAAAAGAAAAAAGAAAAAAAAGAAAAAGAAAAAGAAAAAGAAAGAAACTCTAAACTCTCAATTAAGAAGCAAAGTTATCTCTGAATTCCCTCTCTCTGAAACTCCAAGAAGCATCATTGATTGGTTCAGCTAGCTTGTTCTGCCATGGCTGATCCTCTCGCCCTGAACCATCTTATTCATGTAGTTGCTAACATATAGCTTAGGCTAAATATTTATATATAGATATAGATATATTAGATATAATTTCCACAAAGGTACGGTTCTCTATGTACAAAAGTGTGTTGCTGCCGATTCTTTCTTGCAAAATCGCCATTTTTAACTCTCCTCAACGATCCAAAGCACTTATCACGATCCTGTAACACACACATCGTACTCATTAGAACATGAAATATTGTAGTTTTTCATAGATCGAATTTGTTTTTCATTAATAGTAAACATAAACGAGAAGTAACCAATCGTAAACTGTCGGACTTCTAGGCTCATCAGCATCACGTTCTAATGCCACTGTTGATAGTTTTCTTCTCGTAAATTTCTTGAAATCCCCGCCTGGTGTTCCCGCTGCACGCATGCATAACAAATAACATTAATTTCATGGTTCAGATTAGAAGATTATCCTGTATTAATTTCCTTGCTTCACAAGCCTGAGGAAATAATGGACAAATACCCGTAAGGGGCTCTCAAATCCAGATCTTGTGGGAACAAATCACGTGAATTCAAATGAAAAAGAAAGAGAAAAAATTCAGAGATCTTTGGAGTTTCATTTTCCTTCACGTTTCTTGGCAAACAAACAAAAAATATTTACATGTTGATGGAGAAAGAAGAAATGAACTCACGTGTCTTGGGAGTTCTGGGGGTGTCAGGCCCAGCAGGAGACTCCGGAGCAGAACCAGGATCCAAGGATAAGCTTCTAAAATTAGAGTTACTTCTAAGAATCGTAATACTCCTAGTGACCACAACATCATCGGCTCCATTAACAGCCGGTGAATGTGGAGATCTTGTCCCGGAAAATGAATCGTACTTCCTTAGTTTGCCAAGCCCCGTTTCCGGAGCAGGCCCGGCAAGCGTTTCGTCCCAGAGCTTATGAAGAAACCCCATGATTTCAATATTTATGTATCAAAATTATTGTTCTTATTATTTAGCTTCTCTGTGTAACAACCGATGATGGGCAGGTTTTGGTTTTGTTTTTGTTTTTTTGTTTTTTTGTTTTTTTTTTGGGGTTGGTTGATGGACCCAAAACGACTGTTACTTAGAGAGAAGGGAGCGAAACGTAGATAGAAGATAGATATGTGGGGATGTGAAGAGAGAGCTCACTTTCTTATTATTTTTCTTAAGAAAACAATGGTGGTTTTAGGGATTTTATAGACGAGTTTCAGAGAGAGATGATGATGAAGAAGAGAGTTGAAAACCTGAAAATTAATGGCTAAAGTCATTGCAATGGCTCCGGCTAATATGGCTTCATTTTGAGCCATCAAAATAAATAAATTATATTTATATAATTGGTCAATTTTTTATGGATTTGATTTCAAATTCATCACTCTAATTATGACTTAAGAGAGCTTCGTCGGTTTATTTACTAACTATAATTAATTTGTAGATTAGGTTTTTTAGAACAACAAATTAGAAAAAAAAAAAATGTATGGATAAAATTTCATTCTAATTTTAGTAATTTGCTCTAACTATATATTTAGATGATATAAATTAAGATTATATTGGGTTGATCTTATTGCTTTTCTCCTTTAATCTTTAATGGGTATGATTTCATCGGAAGGATGTTGCATTGCTCCTTGTGCCGGATGACAAATCCTTTAGGTGTTACATCCAAAGGTCTCGTCTTTAAATTTAAAGACAATCTTGTCATCCAGCTACGAGGAAGCGGTTAGTTATTTATTTAAGGGAGAACGACATTTTCCCAACCCAAGGTTTGACAAAACGTTGTCCCACCCTTCAAGTTTCAAAACAACACTTTCCCACCCACCGTCAAGATCCATTAGTAGACTTTGTTAATTGACATGGTATAATCACAGTAAAGTCGAAAACACCCTTTATTATTTGAATCTAAATCCAAATCCATAATTTGGAAAAAAAAAAATTAAAAAACTAAACAAAAATGGTTGGTCGAAATCACACCTGTGCTGTGCTGTCGACTGCTACTACTGCAAATCGTCGGCGAGGCCACCAAATAACCCATGGATGCTCAACCCAAATCCATCACTAAGTAATACAAATCCGGCCAAAAATCCACCATCAAAAATCCGGAGTGGATAGCGGTGGACTGTGGAGAACGACGGTGGGGTATGAAGGGGTGGGGAAGAAAGGTAGGGTTTCTATGAGGTTATATATAGGGGGTGAAATGACTTCATTAACCTGTGACTGTTTTATAAATTTACAATTTTGTCCTTCTTCAGTTAAGGTTAATAGAAAGTGGGTGGGAAAGCTTCGTTTTGAAACTTGGCAGGTGGAAAAGTGTCGTTTCATGAAACCTTGGGTGGCAAAGTGTCGTTCTCCCTTTATTTAACTACTGGATTTGTGGCCAGATGGCAAGACCTTAGCTATCTGAGTGAGTTATCCAGAGGTCTTGTGTTCTAATCCCCATAATGGCTACTTACCACATTTGTGACTTACTTGATCTATTAGGTTATAGAGTGTTCAATGGGTCTCGAGGATTAAACCCTTGGTTATAAAAAAAAAAAAAAAAAAAAAATTAAGAATAATGAAATATCTTTTGATATGAGTGTTTTACTAAACTTTAATAAGATTAAGATTACATATATTGGATAATATGATAAATAATAAGGTAATTATAAATCTTCATCACTTTCTGATACATAAAACCCTTAAGCGGTATCATTTTTTTCATTTATTATATTTCTGATATGTATTGATTACCCTCGTATGAAACTTAACAAGATGAAAAGTTGAACAATAAATCTAATTTTAGATGACTCTAGTGGGCTCATCTCTATCTATTGATCACCATTAGTGCATAATTTTAGGTTTAGAAAATGCCCACTAGTAGAATTGCATAACAAGAAATGAACATGTACACTATCATAGAGCCAAGCCAAGTCGAGCAAAAGAAAAAAGCCACCAGCTATGGTTAAAGCGAAGGAAGCCCAAGATTATAGGATCAAAAAATAAGAATGACTTGGTCAAGTGGGCAGACAAGAAGGTCCCCATATCAATTTTGTCTAATTTTACACGTCAGGTAGATAAGATTGAGCATTGAAGTAATTCTAGATCTACCAACACTTTGACAATAATAATGTCGGAGTTGGACCCATCATGAATTGCATTGCAAGAAGATTTCATCAATTTAATTTCAAACCAATTACCAACCAGATTGTGTGTTTATTAGCTTATAATTGATTAAGAGTTTATGCAATTACTTCACCTATCAAAGTCCTCTCCACTTACTTAATTACAAACTAGGTATAAGATATTTATTTATATATCCTTTTATTTCACATGATTTGATTACCTTTGTGTCGATACTACATCGATTATAAAAAGGTAATATATTTATTTCATCGTCTTATAATTATTACTGTGTTGTTATATATACGGATTAGTTGAAATTCAAACATATCAGTTAAACTCTTTACTTTTTATATAGTGTACTACTAACTCTTCACTCTAAAACTTAATTTGAAACCTAAACCTAAACCTTAAACTTTATTTTGCATAAAAAAACTAAATTGTGTGTGCAGGCGTCACATCCATTATAAAAAAGTAACATACTTATCATGTTATTTCATATGATGTGGTTACTTTTGTGTCGATATTATATTGATTATAAAAAAGTAATATATTTATCTCGTCATCTTATAATTACCATTGTGTTGTTACATATACAATCAGATCAATTGAAATTCAGACACATCAGATAAACTCTTCACTTTGTATATAGTGCACTATTAACCCGTTACTCTTAAAACTTAATTTAATCTTAGTGACGACGCTTACATTGACCAATTATAAAGTGTTGTGTGTTACGGAATCATAAAAATGATTGCTTCATTTGTTTTGATGACAAGTTTTATTTGATTAATAGAATTTTATTGAAGTGTTTTGGAAGGAATCTTGATGGGGATGTATTTAGAAGAAGCACTTGGGTTTTTGTTATAAAAATTCTACTAAACAAACAAAATGCTTATTATAAAAACATATCCATACACATCATATGATATATGACAAATATTATTTGTTTATGTTGAGTTGAATATCTATATTGAAAGGTTGAATAATCTTCAACTAAAATAAGCTTCCTCTTTTAAAGATTTATCAATTATTGCTCCCTTAAACACTGATTTTGTGTTCATAGGGCAAGACTTTAGTCATCTGGATGGATTATCTAGAGGTTTTGTGTTCGAATTCCACAAAGTGACCACCTACCACATTTATGACTTACCTAATTTATTAAGCTTGTAGGGTATTCAATAAACCCTGATTTCCGTACCCTTGAAAGGATTTATCAATTATTGCTCCTGTTCCCTTATGCTAGAGCTAGACATTCACCAACTATGTTGAGTCACGGGAACCACACATATATATCTTGCCACAAGCTTGAAGGTCTTCATATATCCACAAATTTTGTAATAGTTTCCTTATCACAAGTTAATACAAATGGGACCCTAGAAGACCCCCTATTGGCTAACGGTATTTTTTGCTAATTGAGGCACTTCTAAATTTAATATCTACATGATGATACCTTCTTTGTAAAAGACTAAGATTTGTAGCTTCTATAAAAGACTACAGTAAAAAAGCCTCTCTATATGAATTGATAAAGACTTAGTATAAGATTTTGTGTAATATTTTATATACTAAGTAATCATTTCACAAGGTAGAATTCGCACTTATAACTGGTTTATAAGGGGAGGATACCTTGTCCATACGGATATAACTCGCTTTTAAAACTGGCTTATAAAGAGAGGGCGTTATGTCTATAAAGACGCCCTCGCTATGTGATGCCTACTTTAATACCAAATTTTTATGAACCCACATGATAGCTAAAAATCGACTTGTAAAAGGAAGATATTTAATGACTGCTAAACTACCAACTAATCTTATACTTAGTTGATGTATGATTCTAATTACATTGATTAGTTAGTATTCATAACAGAAATATCTACTTTGTAAATGTAATATTATTGAAATGTAAATATACAACATTAGATTACCTTAACCTCTCTCCTTGTGGTCGGATGACAAACTCTTTAATTATTGGAGCTAACTATTTTTTGTCTCTTGTGTTCGAGGCGTTGGAGAGATAATTACCGGGTTTACCAAAAAAAAAAAGTTAGATTACCTCTTAGAAATTGGAATGGGTTTTATATTAACACCACAAACCTAGTTTGATTCAATAAATGGTCCCATGAGAGACTTTCTTGCTGTTCTCCACATAGACTTGAAGCACTCATAAGCCAATAAGCCTTATATATTTTGCCTTTGCCCTTATATAATTGCTTCAAATAATTTAGTTTATTCGGTAAGCTATGATAGAGAAAGCAAACATTAATTGATTATTATTATTATGTAAATTAAATTTGTTCATATGTTACATCAAGTTGTTTCCCCACAATTTTCTTCCTTTAGTTTAATTTCTTGTTTACTTTGTGTCTCATTTCTTATTGAAAAAGTCATCATTGATATGGCCTTGATTTCATCAACATCCTTGTCTTCTTTTTTCTATTCTCCTTGAATTACTTGTACATTTTAGAGGTAGCTTGATTGGGAAATGGGAATTTAATGGCCATCTTTAAAGTTGAAATTGACATGTAATAATAATAATAATAATAATAATAATAATAATAATAATAATAATAATAATAATAATAATAGACCCATTTGAATATGTCAAATTGTATTAACATCAAGGCATAGTGAGAGAGTAATTGGGGTAGCTAAATTGAATCTTGGACTTTTCTTTAAAGTAGCAACTCAATCTTGCCACAAAGTTACTATAATATTGAAGTTATTGAGGTGTTTACACTGATGCTAGCTAAATTATTTATCTTATAAAGATTTGTCAATAGGGTTGTGCTTCTTTGAGGCAGCTAAAGCTCATTTCCGGCTCTAGGAAACTTGAAGGTTTTTGCTCCAAACTGTATGTTGATATCTTAATTCTCTATAATGTTTTATTTTCGTGTTTAAATACACTAGATCACTTAACCCAAAAAGCTTAAATTCTTCATTGTAAAATTCTAATTTTATTCAATTAAATAGACATTGTTCATTTTGGGTCTTTGAGTATGGTCAAATCAAGGAATCGTATAACAATCCAAGTCCAATCTTGGGTTTAGCGGCCTAAGTCTAATCTTGGGTTCGGTCCAATCAAGTAGATAATTATCCGTGCAAATCCAATCTTGTGTCTAGTCTAATCAAATAGATATTTATTTGCTTTGGGGTAGGATTGCCCAGATTTGCTTCTTTTGAGCTTCATGTGAACATCCCTAACCTCAAACCTGTCTACTTAGATATAGAAATCCAAGACTTATAAACTGATTTCAGGCCTTATTCATTAGTGATATGAGACAATAGACATAACAAAATCGAGTTCCTTTTTGCCTTACTCAAGGCCTAATATCCGTCGGGTCCGAAGAAACCTTTATATGCCTCTGTTATCTTTTGGGCTTTACATTCAATAGGTAGCATGGCCCAGAATAAGAAGTCCAAAGACTATCAATTGGTCCATAGTGGGTTCCATGGAAAGCCCAAATAATTATCTATTACTATTTGGCCTTTTTTAAAATGTTTCAAGCTTTAAATTAAGAAAAGATTAAAGATCTTCTATGATATAGACATCAAAATTGGACTTCACAACACTCAACCATCTCACTTTGGGAAACTAAATTAATTAATCTAGTTTTGATTATTAAAGAAATTGCAATCCCTTCCCAAGTGGGAGATCAAATCTAGGATGGAGATTTCCAAGAGTAAACAAATGATGAACCCTTTTGATGTTTAATTATTCTATTCTAAAATGGCAACTTGTTACTTTTATTAAACATGTTTAATGCTTAATTTTAATATCAACTTGCATCTTTCTTCAACTTTTTGCTTCAACTTGCCCACAACAATACAACATTATGAAGACTTAGGTCTAATAATTTAAAACCTAAATTCTATAAATCTCCATCGATTCTCATGGTTCAAGAATGGGGTTCCTATGCTTTTGTAGCAAGGTTGAAACTTTTGATAACAAGATTATTATTATTATTATTATTATTTTTGTCGTTTTAATAATCGAAAATGTTATAGTAGTTTAATACTTTAAAATCCATCTTCTGATAATTTATCCAGTACGAAATCCGTGTATCGAATGTATCATCATTCTGTTATTATACCGACATGTTGCAATGTTTTGTTATTCAATTTTTTTTTTTTTTAATAACTTGACAGATTTATAGTCCGTACATAACGTAACAAACTATTATTTTATAAAGACGATGCGCTACAGTAACTGAAAGATGAACAAAACGAAGATTGATATACCTGTTAGAAGTTGTATCTGTCTCACATCGCCAAGTTGGTGAGTTGTTATAATGTATATATGTGGTTGAACTCTCTTTTTCCTTAAGCTAACTTTTGAGGGTGGGTTCTACCCAAACCCAACATTATATTTTTAATGGAAAGAAAAATATAAAATAAAAATAAAAGTAAAAGTAAAATGATACAATTTGATCATACTTAAAGATTGAAAATCAATATAAAAAAAAATGTTCTTTAGACACTAGTATATGAAGATCTTTATGTTGATACCAGATATCTCACATATTCTTTATAAATTACCATAAGCTCAAAGGATAATATTGTATATTGCATAGTTTATTTTGGCAAACTTGAAACAAAGCTGGAACGCATGTACTACTAAATTGAAGTACATGAACTTTCTAGATTTGATCATTAAGCTTAAACCAAGTGGGTTATTATATAATTAATCCCTTAATCTTTTTTCTTCTTTTAATGAATTCTTTAATTCATTTGTTTATGTACGAAGACGTAATGTTTGAATGCTTAATGTTATAACTATAGATAGGGACGCGACTTTATTTTCTTAAATCATTCGTCTCATACCCAAAGTTTAAGGAATCGATTCGACCTTTTGAACTCTGGTTAGAATAACCCACCACTTTGAAACGAGAAGTTTTAGATATTTTAGATAAAGAAATAATCGTGAATATTGAACCGACCTGTCTTAACGAGACCCAGAATAGAAGCAATAAAACCAAAGAAGTTGTGTGCATGACCGTGTTCTTCTTCATACTCTTCTACTGCAGGAAGCAACACAAGTTGTCCAACTTGTGGGACATTTGATGAGTGATGGAGAGAAAATGTGGAAAAAAGGCCACCAAGAGACACATTTCTACACTCAAAAGTTTTGGCAACTTGCATTGCCAATGGGGATGGACCTACTTCTTTCACAAAACTAATTTTTTTTATTTTTTATTTTTAATTCTCTTCTCATTAAAACCAAAAAGTGATGATGGATTGGGGGTGCTTTAACTCTGTTGTTTACCTCTCACCATCAAGCCTAAAAGCAGACAATTGAGGCTTTTTGGTGAGTCCTGTGCCCAGATTTTTCAATGCGCCTGACCCCATTTGTGGGTCATTTGCCCACGTGGTGTAGAGCCCATTTGCTGCCCACCTAACCAATACAGCCACGGGTTCTGCAGCTTCTTCATATTTGACCTCTCTTAGAGCCAGTTTTGGTAATATTATCTCTAGCGCTGGTCCAATTTCACCTATGTGCTACACATTGGTCCCCAAAGTTGGTACCTATGGCTTATCGATGGAAAAATTTTGACCAGAAATTGAAGCCATAGCCAGATGCTGAATAGGGTCAATTGTTGATCTAAATATCAGGCAGATTGATAGCAGCTAACACCCTTTCTAGCCCTGTCCAATATAACCAAAGATTACTGGGAGTGAAAATTCACAATCAACTTTCATGGATATCCCTTTGGTTATCAGTAAGTACAAGAATGAATATGAAACGCCCTTTCTGGTGTGGTATCTCTCAAAACATATCCTCATTAGAACCACAAAAAGATTCAGAAGAAATGTATTGGGATCAAAAGGGACCATTTTGTATGCACATAAATATATAAAACTCACTGTATGATAAGTTTGGAAAGATTAAATGTAAAATGTAGCATCAGGGAAACTAGTTATTAAATGTTTAATAAGCTCTTACAATCATCTGTTTCCTATTTAACTAAACCCTCAAGCAAGAGAAGAAAGGTAAGCAACTTAAGTTGGTTATAGCTTTTGCTTCATTGCTGGTGGTGTTCAGCATCCTCCACGCCATGATTCAAGATTTCTCCAACTGTGATTCAGCATTGGTCATGAGGACTTCCAAGGCTTCGCCTCTCGCGGCGTTTAAGTTAATATGGTAAGTTTGGCCTAAATGCTGGGGTTGGATTAGCAATCATTGATGATATGTCAACTAGTGCATCATGAAGCAGAAATACTTGAATAATCATGGGAGGAGAGATTATAGCCAGATGAAAAATTTTTGTTTTTTGCTGTGTCTTTGGCTACCGCCCGCTCCTCCTGGAATTCCTCCTCTTACTCCCTTCCCCTTCATGAAATTTTGCTGGTGTTCCACCTGTCTTTGTAGCATTCAAAGATTGTATCAATAAAAAGACTACCGAGGAATGACAATCTACAACTGAATACAATTCGCGAAATCTTATAATCAGCATTTATTCCAGAAAGCCATTTTTTGTACCATGTGACTCAAAAATTTAAGCTCACAAGAATAGATCTGTCCAAGAACTAAACTAATCCAGAGTCATACGAAAGTTTAATCTGTTAAGAAATATGTCTCGACAACATCAATAGATGAAACATACCCCAAAACAGAAACTCTGAAAATGAGCATTGAAACTAGAGGAACCCTCAGCATTTGTCTTCCCAGAAGTCATTTCAGATGAATTGCGCTTGTTTGTACTCGAACCATCACTGTAAGACACATATGACGATGAAGAAGTAGAACATGAACTAGTATCCTGACAGCTAGAACCGAATGCCTCAACGTCCTCTTGAAACATCTCTTCAAACAACTCCTGCAATTCCTCAAAACTCTCCTTCCCATTTTCCTGCCAATTATACATTATATCAATCACCAAACAATTTTATTTTGATTCATAGATCAATTATTCAATGCTTCCAAAGAATAACTTTTTTCTGGGGGTCCACAAAGTCTTTGATACACTTGATATTCAGCAATTCTACAGTGTCCACGCAAAGACCTCACAAATGATTGGCCAAGACAAAAAAATGGTCCCATCAAAAACTGATTTTTGGAGATGTCCACACACAGAGTATCATGTCTCCATAAAGGCAAAAAGTCTGTCAGCCTACTAAAAAATTAGCCAATGTTGGACCCATTAGCAATCAAATTAGGAAGAAATCTTTATACCATGATTGTATAAACAACCAACTAAAGCAAAAAAAACCATGAATAAAGCTAGAAAGGAAAAAAAAAAAGCCATATCTACTTCCTAGGATTTTCCAATGCCAACCTGTAAATTTTATTCACAAGAAAGCATAAGAGACTTACACTAGTCTTTGTTTGGCTCATCATGCATGCCATTTCATTCAAGAAATCACCCATTCCCTGCATGCAAAATTCCCAATAAGTTCACTATACTTTTCATTTCTAACAAAAAGACCCCCAAGGCCTTATGGGTATGGATGTAACATACATTTTGATCATCATCATCATCATCACTGTCATAGACACCTACGTCGTACAGAAACCTCTTGTTGGCGTCAGACAGAACTGTACATAAAAACAGCATCTCGTGAATCTAATAATAATCCATTATTATAACATAAAGTTTTAAAAATAGTCCCTTTTTTTATAATGCAAATTGCACAAAATACTAAAACACTAATAGAAAATGGAATTGGGTAAAGTTACCAGAATAGGCTTGTTGAATGGCCTGAAATTTCTTCTTGGCTTCCTCAACAAACTTTGAATTTCCCGTTGCTGAACAACGATCTGGATGCCATCTCTATATTCCAAAAAAAAACAAAAACAAAAACAAATTTTCTTTCACTACAACTTCAAGACAACTTTCCCGGGAAAATTTTGATTTCCAGGGAAAAAGAAGTAACTTTCCAATTCAATTTTTGCCACTTTCACCAGGGTGGTGAAGAGAACCCAGAAACCATGGGACTTGTTCGAAGCAAAAGGACCCAATCAAATAATATGGAAAGGTCATGCACAAAGACCAAATCAAAAGGAGAATGAACAGAAGTGATTATAAGAAGGGCTTTTCCATATGATCAAACAGTATCAAAACAAAGCTTAGCATGCTGAATCATCACCAAATACATGGCAAAATTGGGCTTTGAAAGAGTTCATTACATTGTTTAAGGCCATGCAAAAACAAAGACCAGATCAAAAGAAGTGATCTTTAGAAATTGTTAGAATTTGAAGAACAACCCACTTGATTGAAAAGTGAAAAAAACCGAAACGAGACAGGCGAAGAAAAGATGTTAACTCTAACCAGTGCAAGTTTCTTATAGGCATTCCTCAGCTCTGTTGCTGTACATTCTTTATTCAATCCCAAAACTCCATACAAGTCATTGCTTTTCTCTTCTCCATTGGCCATTTTTCTTCAACACCAAACAAGACTCAAACTTTCTCCTTTTCAAGTCGACAAATTACAAAACCAAACACAACCCACAAAACAAAATCCAAAACCAAACCAAACCCACCTGTATCTTACAACAAAACGCCTTATAGACTTACAAAGATTACATCTTTATCAAACTCAACACCAAATGGTCAAGTTGTGTTGGAGAGAAAAGAGAGAAAAGAAATAATTTTTCTTTACTTCTTTCTCTCTGTTTCTCTCCCAAGTTAAAAAAGGTAAACCAAAGAAGTCTCCAGAAGATATAAAACTGGAGATTAAGTTACATACTTACATATAGGAGCCTGAGGTTGGTGTATTTTAATAGAGCAAGTAAAGTTAATTACCTAGAAAGAGTAACGAGTTAAATGTAGGATGATAAGGTTGGGAATGGACGGTGGAGATTCAATGTAAGTGGTAGATATTTTGTTAGATTGTGTGTCCAGAAGGTTCTGTACTGTCATCTGCTTGTTTAGAGTCAAGTCTTTATTGACAGCACTATTGTGTTTCGGATCCCTTTCATGGTCCTACTCTTTGTTTTAATTAACCATTAATGGTAGTTTATACCTTTTTCAAGTTTTCCATATTATACTATACATAATTTATTTGATTATGCTTCTCGCATCTACGCGAAGTCTATATAAATTCAGTGTATAAGGTTAGAATTTTCTTTTTCGATTTAATGAGCGTGTGCATTTTGGTTGGATAATATATAAAGCTGAAAAGCAAATAGGAGTGAAACTAGATCCAAATATATTTGATTAGTCCTAAAATATGACAATAAGTATAGAAGCTTTATTTGATAGGATTCGAGACGTGGGTATTAAGCTGCTTGGTTGGACCAGAATAGGACAATTTGTCAATGGATTTGGTTAAACCTATAATTCTAAATCTAATAATCGCTATTAAAGTGAACTCACCACAAGTCTTGTGTTTGATTCACCTAAATTATTAATATAGGTGATCATTGAGGAGATTTATCCGACTATCAACTTCAAGATCATAAAAGATTAGTTGAAGTGCATGCAAGCTGGTTCGGACACCACTAGTCACAAAAAAAAAAAAAAAANGACAGGGCAATTTGTCAATCGATTTGGTTAAACCCATAATTCTAAATCTAATAATCGGTATTAAAGTGAACTTACCATAAATCCTGAGTTTGATTCACCTGAATTATTAATAGGGATGGTTATTGAGAAGATTTACTTGACTGTCAATTTTAATGTCATAAAGAATTAATTGAGGTGCATGCAAACTGGTACGGACATCCCCGATCACAAAAAAAAAAATTATCACCCTTGGGTAGCTGAAGTGGTAAGATGAATATTGGGATATGGGGTTAAAATATACGGTTTCGAACTTAAATACTTCTAATTCTTAAGATTTAAGCGGGTAATTATGACAGTTTCATGTTTGAATCTCTATTTAAGTGAGTAATGATAACAGTAGAATGCTGTGCCCCAGACACCCTTTTTATACTAGAGATTGTGTGTTTGCATACTTTTTCAATCATACCAACCCAGTTCATATATTCAACCTACGATAAGTTCATTTATTAAACATTATCTTTATTTTAAGTTCTAGAAAGAATAAATATATTACCTAATTAATTAAATCTTTTACCTCTTTGGATCGAAAAAGCATTTCAATACAATTTTGTTTTTTTATGATCACAGAATTAAGAATATATAAACTTTGCACATGATAAGGTTTTTGGGTACAACTAATTGATCATATAAAAATGAATCTAATTGGGTTTTCAACACGTGCACAGCTACCCATAACTCAATTTACATCCACTATTTGCTTTACTATACCTACCATAAATTTTACGAACCAATTTCGATGATGTTTTATCTTCAATATTCTTATCTTAAATTATAAGTTTTAATTACTTGATATATTATTGGGTTTGATTTTTGTAGACATTAGAGCATTGAGAGGATCTTTTCTTAGTACAAGAATACTAAAAAGGAGACACCTCTGGTATACCAATTATCGTGCTTATAGTAAACGTTGGATAACCAAGTGTAAACTAGATAATTGTTAAAAGTATCTAAATAATAAGCTCATCGGAAAAGGAGTGTTCTCCTATTCTAACTTCCCTAGAGCCTCTGTTAGCACAATCGAGAAAGAGACGAGTTCTCTGCCCCTGCGAGGATGGAGTGACCATGCATCATTTATTAGATTTAACCGATTTATAGTAATAGTCTTTTCAAATGTTAAGCATAAATTAATGATGTATAATACATATGGTTATATATAAATGATATGATAGATTACAATCACTAGCTTGTGGTCCAAAAAGGCAAGTAATGCCCACATTTTTATCTTTCATTTTAGCTAATATATATTGGAAGATGCTGGAAATGGTCACGACTCACGTGCCTTATGATCTAAGTAGCTTGTAGAACCTGCAAGGGCAAGAGCTCTATTATCATGGTTTTAAAACCCAGATTGGCCCGGCCGGTTTAACCCGTTGGACTGAGACTCGGGGCCTTCTCCGGGTTGGGTTACCCTTTCAACTGTTTAAGTTTGAAATCTAGCAAACACACCCTGATTAATATGCATCAGTCCCTGAAGGTTTCAAATCTAGCGAACACACCCTCGGCCAAATGCAAATTGATGATGACCTCCCATTTTCTGGCGACCTTCCATCTTCCCTTGCTGTCGAAAACCACCTTCTGACTTTTTCTGGAGCTATGACGTTTCATCTCCTGCCGCAGAGCGATGTTTCATCGTCTAGCAATTTTTCTTCCATTTCTCGGCATCGATGGGCCACCCCCTGGATCGGGTTTTAAAACCTTGTCTATTATTAATTCACACATTATCATATGCATATATGTATAATTTAACCTATATTAGGGTTACTATTCCTGTATACACGTTCGACTTGAAGAAAGAAAAGAGACATATACATGCACGCATGCATGCAGGGAAATGGAGGCAAAAGGAGAGACAATATCTCAAATTCTCAATTATATAATACAGGATCAATCAATCAATAAATCAATAAATTAATATATATATATATATATATACAACATTATTTATTAAACATTACGTGGTACTAGATCTTTCTTAGAAAAATTCTTATTTTTAGAAAAATAAATAAATATTTAGATATCAACATGATTAGTAATCTCACAATTTTATTTAAGNATGAGAGTATATTTATGCTATATAAACGATCAAAGCCCTCATCTTCTAACCGAAATAAAATTTTAGCACCAATAACTACAAATGATTTATCCCAAAATTCAGGAATAAAAAAAGAGTGGACATTGAGAATTTTATAAAAATGCGAATGAATGAAACAAAGTTGATAGCAGGAGCACAAGGCAAAGCTTGAAATAAGGCAACACATGCACATGACACAACACAAGTATCGGCTAGAAGTGTTTTCTGGAAACAGTTTTATAGTATTATTTATATTTTTTAAGTATTTGGTCAGCATTCATTTGCAGTCCCTTTTGAACTTCGATATGCATCTAAATTTGTGTTATTGGAACTTGTTCGTCCACGTCTTCTATGATATTTTTTTCACCCTTCTCAAACTTAATTTGTGGACTCCACCTACACCACCTTCAATTGCTTCTGATATAACAATTTGAGAGTCATTACTTTAAGCTTAAAGTTCATATCAGTCTAGAAGGTATGGCAGATAAGACTCAACGTGGGATCTCCAAAAACTTTGAAGAACAAAAGGAGAAATGGAGATAGCATATGAATTACATACAACTAGCTAGCTAGCAAGCAAGCAACTAGTCTATTCTGATGAAAAGACATAGCATATGAACAATATCTTATATGAAGATTCTGGTTTTGTATCCAGCAGGTATATATGGTTGGCTTCTTGATAACTACCTACGACTTGAAGTTGTATATCTTGTTGTGTAAAAAGCAAAGGAAGGAAAAGGGAGGTGCGATTGTAGCATTATGACAATTTGCAGAGAGAAAATAGACAAACCATCAAATGGGATTGATAACTTTTGATTGAGAGTCCTTTTCGCTTCACTTTATAACCAAAACATTTTATGATTTCGATGGGTCAAATCAAACAGCTAGCTATGAACTACCAGACTTGCAGTTTTTACCGATAAACAAAAGAGTAGTCAAGAGTGAAATGATAATAAATATAACCAAACGCTCCTCAAAGAGGACCCTGGCACCAACCGCTATTCCAAGTGGGGCGGCCATTCTTTAGCTGAATCTGTCACTAAAATGATTTGACAGACTCGAATCTGTCGCATCATATTAGCCTAATTTCAATGTGATTAGTATGTGATAATAAAATATTATTTTAAAAAGGACTAGTCAAATTCTGGCTTTGAATTTACATAATGTATTGCTATCAATCTGTTTCACTTGGCCAACTTGCTAACGTGAATGACATGGAGAACCTTTAAGTTTTCATCTACGATTTCTTTTGCAAATTATTATCAAAGTCAACAATGAGTTTTATATACATCGTTGCATCGAAACAGCTATGTAAAACTTGTAAACTGTATTGATGTAACACTGTATTATAGCTAAATAAGATGGATGAGTGCCACTTTATGTCCAAACTTTCCTTCTTGGAGCCAACAAGCACTAGGGATGGGCACATGCCGGGTTGGGTCGGGGCTGGGGACCCTTGTCTTCAGCCTTGCCCCGAGTCCCAAGGAGATTCCTCGAATCCGGCCCATCCCTGAAACAGGGATTTAGGGGAATCCCAAACCCGATCCACGGGGATATGGGGAATTTCGGGCCCAATCCACCCAGCCCTAACTCATCATCGTAAGCCCATATATGCTTGAATCTTGGGCCTATTAGAAAGCCCACTTCTATCGAAACAGGGTCGGACAGTTTCTCAACTGGGCCTTAGTCAACTGTTGGACCCTTTTTCTCAAATTCTAGATAGAAAAGTTTACGACATTTAGATCTGCATTTTTTCAATAAAACAACTAAGCTCAACCTAACCATGCTATGCCCATTTGTAAATAGTAATTGCTATATGTTGAAACTTGGACTAATAATAAAATAAAATACCAAGTATTTTCCTAAAAAAGACTTGAGATTTTCGAAATTATCAATAATAATTTATATAATCATTAGACATAGGTTACATCATATCAAGTCTATTTGATAATATCATATAATTTACAATTTTATATAATATCATTATCATATGTTAAGAGACTTTATATGATATTATCCAATAGATTTTATATGATAAGAGACTTAAAAAATAATTATATCCAATTTTCTTTTAAGTCTCTTATCAAATTATCAAATAACTCAA